CCCCCGCCACTCTGGCGCATTCACCCACATATAGGCGGCACCAGCGCCGGCGGCCTCCCTAGCGCCCTCCTCTATGGCGGCCTGCTTGCCGCGCTGCTCGCGGCCGGCGCGGCGTGGTGGCTGCAGCAGCGGCCGCGTGCGCCGCCGCAGGTGACGCCGCTCGGGGCGCCCCTCATGAAGGACCTGCCTGAGCTGTCGGATCACAAATACAAAAATGACATGTTCTGGGGCAGCTACCGGGCCTCTCTCTACTTTGGCATGCGCACCAGGCAAGCGAACGACGGGCGCGCCTGGCGCTCTTCGGCCCAGCCCCCTGCCAAACCTGGCGCCTCGCACCGCGTCCGCCGCGCCGCGCCCGCCCGCCCGCGCTCAACTGCCGGCCCGACGCCCAGCGGCCCAGCACAGGCCCCGCCCGCTGCCCCGGCTCCCATCCGCAAGCCGCCGCACCCACCGCACAAACCGTCGACGGGCCCCCGCCCCCGCCCCTCCGCCTGCCCCCTCAGGTCTGAGGCCGGCCCCCTGCTGGGACTCATGTGGTTCGACCCCGCCAGCACGGAAAACCCCATGAACCTCCGCCACGACGCGCAGCAGGGCGACCGCCTGGAGCGGCACGGCTGGCTGGCGCACGACGGGAAGACGTACGGGCGGCAGCTGATAGAGGACGGGGAGGTCCACATGAATATAACCATGGTGGGCGCATGTGACGGCATCACATTGGGTTGGTTTATTATGTATTGCACTCTGCCAGCAGCAAGGGGATGACCTGTCAGGGAGGGGAAACCCCTTTGAAGCTTGGTTGGTGTGGGGTCGTCTTGCCTTGCAAACTTTTGTGGCAGCTGATTGAGGGCTGGGAGGCCTCCGCAAAAGCAGCTGGGCAACACAGTCCTGGGCGTTCTGCCCCTGGCCGCGTGTCAGTGACGATGGTGTTTGGGAGGCAATGGAGCGGAGGGCCCCGCAGCTGCGCAGCTTGGGGTGCGGGGCACGTAGCCGTCCGGATGAGGCGCGTGTACGTGCGCATGCACACGCGCTCACGCGCCTGCGAGCGTCGAGGCATGCATCCGCTGAGGCGTTTGACTGCGGCTGGGGCCGTGCCGACTCGTGTACCATGCAGAAAGCAACGCAGCCGCCTCCTGGACAGCTGGTGGGTGCCAGTGCAGTCCCGCGGAGGCGCACCGCTCAGCCTCCAATTTCGTAGGCCACCTTCTCACCGACCACAGCGATTGGAACACACGCCGAGAATCGGGAGCCGACACACCTCCCACGGCCACCACCCGCAGGTCAAGGTGCCGGGCGCCAGCGGCGCCGGCTACGGCGGCGACTGGGTGGTGCGCGTCGAGGCGCGCGCCAAGGCGCCGCCCGAGGACATGAGGGTTGTGCCTCTGGAGGACATCCCTGTGGAGCAGCTGAGCCTGATCGTTTACATTGCGGACGGAAGGCTGGGGGGCGCCAAGATGGAGGCGGTGCCTGGGGGGCACAAGAAGCGGCTGAAAGAGGTGAGGTGGGGGTTGGGCCTGGGGGCTGTTACGTGGGGTGGGCTTGCACGTGGGGGTGGGGGAATCGTGTGCGTGCGTGTGTGCATGTGTGTGTGTGCACGCGCGCACACGTGTGTGTTAAATATTCCGTTGTGTGGGTGTGCTTGTGTGGTGTGTGTGGCTGCATACCCGGGCTTTCAGTCTCACCGCACGCCATCCGCACCCGCCCATTCCCGAAACCCCTCGCACTACTCACCAACACCCCCTACCCCACCCCCACCCTCCTCGCACCTCCCAAGGGGTTAGTGATGGCCTCTGGCACAGACGACCATATCGGCGACTGGGCCCTCCACCTGCGCCCCGGCCCCGGCGGCAGCGCCGCCGCGCAGGCGCGCGCCGCAGCGGCCCGCACTGCGTACACGGCACTGCCTATACAGCAGGAGGCGCACCTGGTGGGAATCAAGGACCTGGCTAGGAATCTTCTTATGGAGGGTACCAAACGCGTAGGGTGAGGGGCCGCGCGGCGTCTCGACCGCGCCGCCCGGCAGGAGCCACGGGCACGCGGTCCAGCGACCGGCGCTGCGACGCGCCCCTTTGTCAGGGACGCAGGGGCGTGCGCCGCATCAGTGTAAGAGCGCAAGCTTTCGCCAGAAGCCTCTGCTGGCGCGCCGCACTGGCGGGAGCGGGGCAGGGCAGGGCGCGTTTCAGCGTGGCTCGGCGCACTCCCCACAACCGCTTCATGTGCTGCCTGCGCCCCTTAACCTCCCCTCGGCAGTTACAAGCGCGTGAAGATGCACAGCGTCCTGCAGGACGACCCCGGCCTCACGCTGGCCCAGGTGAGCAGAAGCTGGGGGGGCGCAGCCGCATGTTGCAGGGGGCCCCACCCCCCCCCCCCTCCCACATGAGAGGCCGTGAGTTGAAAAGCGAGGAGCTGCGCGCACGCGCCAGCTCGCTGGCTGTGGTCGGCGCCTTCCTCCGTTCGGCTCTGGGTTGCCTGGGCGCCCACTGACATCAGCTGATCTGTTATGCAGCGTGCCAACACACAAGACAATATATTGCAATTCCTGTTTGCCGTGCTTTGTCTGGCCGCCTGGCCGTCTGCGACACACACATGAACACACACACACACACACACACACACACACATACGAACACATGCACGCACGCACGCACGCACACAGAAGCACACCCCGCACGCCCACACACATACACACACACAAACACACAATTTCAGATCAGTTTTGAGGTCGGCGCCGAGGCGTCCACCACCGTCGACATCGCATTCCTGTCAAACCCCAAGGGGAAGGGGGCAGAGCAGCGCCTTGCAGCCATCACGGGTGCGTGCGCCGCATGTCCTGCACCGCGGCCGCACGCAGTGTGTGTTTGAAGTTTGGGAAGAGGAGGGGGGGGTAGTGCCGGATGGGTGTGTCGATGTGGGTGCAGAGGGTCACAGGGGTACGCAAGTGTGTGTGTGTGTGCGTGTGTGTATATGTGTGTGTGTGCTAATGCATGTGTGTGTCATACAGCGGGGCTGAGTTTCTGGTCATGGCTCCCCCAGCAAGGGCCCTTGCCTCGTTGCTTCCAGGCTCTGGACAGGTGCGCGCGGCTCCTCAAGCATGCCGCATTTTTGCCTTCTCCCGCCTGCCCCTCCTCGGCCCTCACCCCTCAAGCATCTCATCACCTTCACCACCCTCCTGCCATGTATTGGCACCCTTGCACACCTTGAAAACCCACCCACAAACCCCAACCAACCTCCGCGCCCCTCCCAACCCCCCAAAACAGGGCCCGCCCTCACCAAGCTCATCCAAAGGCGCGAAAACGCATTCAACCGCCGCTTCGACAAAGTGTTCCGCCCCAAGCCCGTCGGCGACCATCCGGCCGCCTGGGTCGAGGTCGTGTCGCGCGCCGCGCTGTCAAACCTGATCGGCAGCATGGGCTACTTTGTCGGCGAGTCCCTCGTGCGCCTGCCGCCCGGCGTCGCGCCCGCGCCGGACCGGGTCAAAGCTTCCGCGTTTGACCAGGGCAGCGGCACCTGGGTCACGCCCAACTGGCGCGCCGCGCTGTACACCGCGACGCCGAGCAGAAGCTTCTTCCCGCGCGGCTTCCTCTGGGACGAGGGCTTCCACCAGCTGCTCGTCCAGAAGTGGGACCCGAGGATCTCCCGCGACGCGCTGGCGCACTGGCTGGATCTCATGAATTCGGAGGGGTGGATCCCGCGGGAGCAGATCTTGGGGGAGGAGGCGCGCGCGCGGGTGCCGGCCGAGTTTGTGGTGCAGCACCCCGACCACGCGAACCCTCCGAGCCTGATGCTGCCACTGGCGCTGATGGCGCGCGCCGCCGCCGCGGGCGCGGCATCAGGCGCGGCGGAGGGCGCCGGGGAGGGGGCCGGGGACGCGGCAGGGTCCGCAAAGGCGGCGGCGGAGACGGAGGCGGCGCGGCAGTGGCTGGAGCGGGCGTGGCCGCGGCTGGAGGTGTGGTACTCTTGGTTCAACCGCACGCAGGCTGGGCAGCTGCCGGGCAGCTACAGGTGGGTCGAGGGTTCGTAGCTGTGAGGCTTGGGGTTGAGGGGTGGGAAGGGATGCAATTTTGGGGGCTCCTGATGGCAAGGACAGGGGCCTGCTGATCTGGAGTTGCAGGAAACAATGCAAAGGGCTCCCGTCGACTGCACCTTTCACCAAGGCACACACACACACACACACACACACACACACACACAGCCACATGTACACATTGCTGGCCGCACGCCCCTCAGCGTCAGCCGCGCCACGCAACCATCCTCTCACGCCTCCCCTCATCCCTCTCCATGAATCGCGTTCACCCCCCCCCCTCACACACACACACACACATGCACACTCACATACCCATTCCAACTCTCGCCAGGTGGCACGGCCGCGACGCGTCCACAGACCTCGAGCTCAACCCCAAGACCCTCACGTCCGGCCTGGACGACTACCCCCGCGCCTCCCACCCCACCGACGACGAGCGGCACGTCGACCTGCTCTGCTGGATGGCCCTCGCGTCGAGGACCATGGCGGAGGTTGGCGCCGCCGCAGGCGCGCCGCCCGCGCGCGTGCGGGCGCACGCGGCGGCGGCGGAGGCGCTGGGGTCGCTGGAGCACCTGAAGCAGCTGCACTGGGACGAGGGGCGGGGCATGTTTTTGGATTATGGGCTGCATTCGGAGGGCGTGGCGCTGGAGCGGCAGGCGGAGAGGCAGCAGGAC